ATGGGATCAGATGAGGTTAGTCAGGCTTTATATCGCATTTTTGATGAAAACCTTCAGGGATGGAGATTGCACAAACTTAATGCTTGTATGTGTTAAAGGCAACTTTGACTTACTAATGCCCACCTTTAGTAAACCTCAATAATTTGAGCCTATTCAAACTGCAGTCAATGTTTTTATTCCTTTCCTTTCCAAGAAAAGTGTCATTAGGGCAACTAGCTAATATAAAAGACACTTTTTTTTTCTTAGAATAGATCTTATGAGTGAATTTCCCAGTGCCTCTTGAACTTCTGAGAAGCCAGTGGTTATACTGTTCTTCCATGCATAAGCAGGTCTGTAAAGGCAAATTTCTCTTCTCTTTTCAGACAAAGACCGCTGTTCAGGCTCTCATAAGAAAGCACCAAACACTTCCAGGCAACATATGGAAGGCCTTACTGGAGCGATTTGATAAACGTCGTAAAAGTGATTAGAATGCTTATGTTTATTTTGTTGTTTTTACAGCATACAGTAAAAAACAATGTCCTAAAGCACTGATGACTAATAGTTGGTGTTCAACCCGTTTAATTTACAAGTTTCTACAAATTTGGCAGAAGAAAACAATTAACTTCTTGAGAATATCCTGAACTCAGAAAGACTGAAGAAGATGACTTACGTATAATAGCAATGCAACAGCTAAATTCCCCAAAAGGAAATCATGTAGCCAGGATTTTTCTGGTTCCTAAAATGAGTACGTACTTACTCCGAGAGCCTTAGCAGTTTTGTCTAGATCTGTGGTTTTGTGTTTTGAGCAGATCACAGTCCAGTCTCAGAGAAGAATCTCAGAGTCAGTGTTGTCCCACCGGAGACCACTCCACAGTGGGCACTTTCCCTGTTGGACCCCATGCAAGACAGTGTCAGAAGAGAAACTGTCTCACTTTAGCTGATGATCTACTGCTTAGGCATTTTTCTAGGTACTGTACAAAGAGACATAACCCCATTAGAACAGATACTAGACTCCTACAAACAGCTTAGTGGTTTGCACCCTGGAAAGCAGGACTGCTACATCTAAGACTTTGCCCCCACAAGAAAAAAAGGTCTCTCTAAGAGAGGAAAAAAAGCTGTAGTTTGGTGTAGCGCTATGCAAATACATGTAGAAAGTAGTTTCAAGTCTGAGCTGGTACTTGCATGCACTATTGCACCATACCATAGTTGTTTAGTGGATGAGGCTGCCCCCAGTCTAAAAACCCCTGGATATAATGCAGTATGGATGTGCTGTATTTATCTCCTGGTGAACAGGGGAGTAGCTGTGGGGGTAGCTTACTGAGGCAATGCAACCCTGAGGCTTATCATCACTGGTGGTTTGCCTGAAAACGCAGTACTGCAACACTGCTGTCTCCATATGGATTTAACTGAAATGCCTCTTTGGAAAGGTAGACGTAGGCAGTGTTGTCATCCTAATGCAATTTGGGGAAAACTGAAACTTGCTGCAAAGCAGAATGTGTTTTTACATGCTGTGGGATGTTGTTACCAGTGGGAGTGGGAGAACTCTGTGTAATCTATCCAATATGCCATTAAATGCAACCAAGTCTGTTAACTTCAGACACCAAGAAAGGTAATTTTTGTGCCTCATTTTTCATTCTTCTGCTTTTAATACCTATATAATCTTTGCCCTGAACATCTTAAAAAGTTACAACATAGTATCTAAGGAACTATATAGACTGTTTGGCCATATTTCACTAGAAAACTAAATTTACTCTTTGGATTAGAATAAAGTCTTCCCATACTTCTTCTTCCACAAATATTTCTTGCACATCTGGAGGAGGGAGCAGGATAGACAGGTGAGTTATTTCCCTGGAGCAAAAGGACAAGAATCCTGTTGTGAAAAAAGTCTGAAATCTCTCCAAAGGTATAGAAATTTTTATTTGAACACCCTAACTATAATTGCTGTATACAGGCAGAAAGATTTTTCTCCCAGCAGAGACTCGACGTGCACCGGACATGATAAAATAAAGTAAATCAAGATGCAGACTGATACACCTGGACAGGAACAGGAATTCAAACCATGAAGTCTAAAATTCAAAACCTGAGATTAAGTCAAGGGAGAAAAAGGAAAAGGCTGTGGAATACTAAAATGGACACAGATGAAGAAGCAAGAGGAATTATGAGTAACCAGAACCTGAAAGCATTCTTCATATTGCAGAAACTGCAGAAAGACTAGACAGAATCATTCTCTGACTGTCTTATTTTTCAAGCACAATAATATCATCATGGAAAGTGTCCAAAGAAGGGCAGCAAAGCTGGTAAAGGGTCTGGAGCACAGCTCTTATGAGGAGCATCTGAAGAAGGTAGGGTTGTTTAGCCTGGTGGAATGGAGGCTCAGAGGGGATCCACAATACCTGAAAGGAGGTTGGAGCCAGGTGAGGGTCAGTCTCTACTCCCACGTAACAAGTGACAAGACAAGAGGAAATAGCCTCAAATTGTGCTGGGGAGGTTTAGTTTGGATATTACTAAAAATTTCTTCACTGATAGGGTCATCTAGCATTGAAACAGGCTGTCCAGGAAGGTGGTGGAGCCGTCATCCCTGGAGATGTTTAAAAGATGTGTGAATGTGGCACCTGGGGACATGCTTCAGTGGTGGGCTTGGCTGGGTTAATGGTTGGACTTAATGATCTTTGATCTTAAGTGTCTTTTCCAACCTAAACAATTCTGATTCTCTAACCAGTTAAACACTTCAATAATCTTAATTTGCAAGACCTTTCAAATTGCATGATGCTAGGGGCTGTGTTGCAACTCAGAACAGAGCACAAGCCTTGGATAGGAGATCCGTAATCAGAGCAACTGATCTTTCAAAGAAGAGACCTCTGCCTATATCTCTCCTATGTAGACAGCTGTTAACATTTTGCTAACAAAGTCCAAGTTTTTACTGGGCTGTTTCATCTTACAGCAGCATCACTGTGTTATCTGCAGCTTATCTGAAATGAGCTGAAGTAAAAATTAATTTCTATTATTGTCTTCTGTCACAGTTGTCTGAAGGGTATTTTCTGGGGTCTCAAGATGATAGACAAAATTATTATTGAGAAACAGGAGTGACTTTGAATGATGTATATGTGATTTTTCTAATAAAAAATTGTAAACAATTTTTTCCAGAAACACTGTAATACTGCTCTAATAATAAGCAGTTACTATATTTTAGTGGCTCTCTAAAAATTTTTACTATTTTTAGAGCAACTGTATAGAAATTAGAACTAGAAACTGGTATTACAGAAACTAGAGCTTGTCATACAAATAGAATTGTAATTGCAAATCAAATCACTCCCCTGCTACCATTATTTTTAGCCTCATCATCATACAACGAAAAAGAAATTAAAACCAGCAAATGCAAATGACCTGTGCCTGCCTCAAAATTAAAGCAGCATTTATGACTCTTTTTGGGTATAGTTTGCCCAGTGAATAATGCCGGGAAATCCTGTTTTCATAACTATTTTCATATAAGGTTTATCCAGCTCAAACTATGTGCTTTTCCACTGGGGAAAAATATCCTACTCATAACACTGGAAAAATAAATTAATAAAATCATAAAATCATAGGCTATCCTGAATTGGAAAGGAACCACAGGGATCATCAAACCCCAACTCCTGACCATGCACGACAGCCCCAGGAGTCACATCATGTGCCTGGGAGTGTTATCCAAACGCTTCTTGAACTCTGGCAGGCTTGGTGCTGTGACCAGTTAATTGAGTGGCAGTGCAAACAGAGTTACACAAATGCACAGCTGAGCAGCTGCAGATGCTGAACAGGCGTACAATGTGAATGTAGAAGACAGCCGGTTGGAAAAGAATGGGAAGCACAGGTCTGAAAGAGCTCACAGCCAGTTCTGGCCAAGGTCTCCTCACCTAAGGTTGAGGAAGCGGCCATGGCGGAGTTACGTGTTGTCTCAGAAGGTAGGGAAGCTACATCACCCTGCGTGTTTGGAGCTGCACCTGCCGCCACTGAAACACTGCTTATTTCTCTGAGTGATTTTTATTTTTTCTTTATATATAACTCCAGGGACCACATCCAAGTCTGCTGGCCAGTCAGGAATACCTTAACAGCTCCGTGAATGCCACATCCAAACTGCAAGCCGCCCAGGACGCTGACTGCATGCAGTGGGAAGGAGCGGGTACTCCTGCAGCTGTGGGTACACGTGGGTACTCCTGCAGTGGTACCAGGTATGGCTGCTGCTGCTGCTGCTGCGGCACCACCAGCAGGGCTGGAGAAGGGGGATTACACCCACCCCGGGCTGGCAGGTGCTGGGAAGGGGTGTCTGGGAGGTGAGTGGTGCTGAAGGCAGCAGGGTGAAGAGGTGGGACACAGTGTATTCCAGTGGGCACGGCAGCCGAGCGGCTGAGGGAGCTGGGGTTGTTCAGCCTGGAGATGAGGAGGCTCGGGGCGGACCCTGTGGCTCTACAGCTGCCTGAAAGGAGGTTGTAGCCAGGTGGGGGTCGGTCTCTTCTCCCAGACAACCCGTGACAGGACGAGAGGACACAGATTTAAGCTGTGGCAGAGGAGGTTTAGCTTGGACATGAAGAATTCCTTCGCAGAAAGGGTGATTACACACTGGAACGGGCTGTCCGGGGAGGTGATGGAGTCACCGTCCCTGGAGGTGTTTGAGGAAGGGCTGGACGTGGCACTTAGTGCCATGCTCTAGTTGACATGGTGCTGTCCGGTCGCGGGTTGGACTCGAAGATCTCGGATTTGTTTTCCCGCCGGATGGATCCTGGGATCCCGTCATCCCGAGCTTCCCGCCCCGCTCCGCCAGGGGGCGCCTCCCGCCCCGCCCCGCCCCGCCCCGCCCGCTCGCGGGGAGCGCGCGCCCTGGCGGCGCCTGCGCCCTCGCGCGGCGGCGGAAGCGGCGGGCGGTGCGCGCGGGACGCGGGTCCGGCGGGTCCCGCGGCCCCAGCGGCGCGGAGTTCCCGCTGCCCCCGCCGCCCCCGCCGCCCCCGCTCCTGGGCGCCCGCCCGCCCCGCCCCGCCGCCGGAGCCGCCCCGGCCCCGCCGCCCCGCGGGCACCCGGCCCCCGCGGGGGCGGCGGGCGGAGAAGCAAAACCGGGCTCCGGCAGGGACGCGGGGCCGGAGCCGGAGTCGCCTCCGCCAGGGCAAGGTGAGCGGGCGCTGCCGGGCGCGGTGCGGGGGCCCGGGCAGGGCCTGGCCCCGCCGCCTCCCCGCGGGTGCCGCCCGGGGGTCTCGGTCACCCCCGGGCTCGGGGCCTGGCGTTGATTCCCGTCGGGGCGGGCGCTGCGCGGGGACAGCCGGGCCGGGATCGCGTCCTTCGGGCCGGGAAAGAGGGGCCCGGGTCCCACTCCCCGCCTGCAGAGCCAGCGTTGTCCCGCCGGCACGGGAGCCAGGCCGGCTCCTGTGCCAAAACAAGGGGTAAACCACGCTGACTTCTAGGATCTCTCCAGTCGCAGGTGCCATTGCCAGGATTATCAGGGTCTTCTGGGTTTTTTTGGTGGTTTTGTTTGTTTGTTTGTTGGGTTGATTTGTTTGGGTTTTTTTCTGTGTGTGTTTGTGGTGGCATTGCTGATTCTGGTGGCGATGCTCTCGGCCGTGTATTTCTGTCGGCAGGGGCACGTCGGCAGTAGCTGCTGCTTTGCAGTGCCCTTCTCGTTTGGAGGTACTGGAATGTCCTCCAGAGGCTTCGCTCAAGCATTTCGTGAATATGCCGGAGTCGTGCTGTGCGTGGCTTACAGCAGTGTGTGTTGCTGTCCGTAATTGCTCCTTCTAGCGTGATCAGTAGGGTCTCAGTTAACCGGGATGTGCGGACTGCAGCTGAAGACCACTATTGTCGTTTAATTAAGGACTTTTCTGGGTCATGTGCCAGAAGTCAGTGGGAGGAACTGTTGTGTGTTAGCCTTGCTTCCACTTCACCATCAGCGTAAAGCCCTAAGTGTAAGCATAAGTCAGTGTGTACTGTCATTAGTCATATAAGAGACTGCATCCTTTTGAACAAGTAGAAATGCGTGTAAGCTGCTTTATTAGGAAATTAGAACTTTTAATATGTAGTTTGAACTGCACAACAGCAAGTGTGTCAGTGCTGTCAATTAAAATAAGAATGTGCTCATATACAGAGGGATTCTGCCTGTAGCTTGGCTAAAAGTGGAACTACGCTTAGTTGCACTGAACCCCGTTGTAGTTTTCAGATTTGGATGATGACAGCTGTCAGAGAACCTCTGACAGGGAAGGCAGGGCAGTCTCTCTGCTTGGATGAGGCCCTCATCAGAGTGACATTGCTGGTGTTTCTAGAAGACAGGGTGCTTTACTTTGTAGTTTTAACTACTCTGTGCAGTCACAGCTGTACAGTTGGAACAGACCAACGTGTTGTTACCAGTCAGCATATAAGAGCCATGTTGAACCTTTGTTCGGTGTGGAGATCTTGTGCTATTCTTGATAATGATCTGCCTTCCCTTCTTCATTGACATTGCAGCCACATTGCAAGGACCTTGCTGCTGCTCTTCAGGAGTGGTTCTAGAGAGAGGGAGGTAGAATCTTTGCAGAAAAGGGACAGGAGGCAACAGGCACAGAGTGTAGTAAGGGGAATTCTAACTAGAATAAAGAAAAACGTTTTCACCATGAAGGTATTCAAGCACTGGATTAGGGATCCAAAGAAGCTGTGGAATCTCTATGGAGCTAATACAAACTGGACTGCATATGGCACTGAGCAACATGAACCAACTCCTTAGCTAGAAGAGGTTGGACAAGTGCTGTTCAGTGAGTCTTTCCAGTGTGAATTATTCTGTGATTCCCTTCAAGATGAGTAAACAACACTGTTCAGAGTAGAGCTAACTGTCCCTAAGAGAAGGCAGTCCTTTAGACCTTGCCTCTGTGGCTGGTAGCACACAAGATGTCAGATTTTAATTTCTGTTCCAGATTAGCACATAAATGTGCAAGTAAATTTAGAAACCTGCGATGATTGCATTTGAGGTATTGCATTGAACATTATAGGCAAAAGGGCACGTAATATTTTTGCAAGCCTGACATGTGTAGACAGGACTTTAAATTTACTTGATGAGGATTTGGGGTTTGGAGAAAGCCATAAATAATTAAAAATGTAATCAGTGGGAGAGTATAGTTTAAGTAATCTTTTAAGCTACATAATCGCCTCTTGGTTTTGAAAAGATGTTTCTGTGCCATAATTCATGCTCCATATTGTTCTCTGGGTGGTAGGTGGAACCACTGTAGAAGTCCAGGCGTAACAGTCTGATAAATATTGTGGCGTTGAATGCTACTCCTAAATCCTACTAGGTCTCACAAGTTGTGTTTCTTATACTTGCTGTGGGTGTTTGCTGCCTGACAGGTTCTGGAGTTCAGCTCTGGCAACAGGAATGAGAAGGAGCTTTTTCTTGATCTCCCCCACAGTCACTCTCCCTTCCTTTCCTCCTAATTCACACCCCCAAACAAAAGTGCATGAAATCAGTGAAGTGCATGTCACTAATGCTGTGTACTTATCCACTGCTGAAGATAAATCAACTGCTGGTCACATTGTCATGCTGAGGAGCAAAGAAGCTGATGAGGAGCAAAATGTTGTAAGCCTGAATTAGTGGAACAGGCATGGATCGCAGGAGCAAAATCCTTGTAATGAGATCAGCTTTCTTCTCATTAATAGGAATTATCTTGAGCAATGTGGGTAGAGGCCAATTTCAAATCCAGAGGAAAAGGGACATCCTTGGTCTATCAGAGTGTGAGGGAAAACTGAGACGGGGAAATGAGTGAGATGAGTTCTGGTAAAGTACATGTTTCAATGTCTCATAGCAAATGTGTAGTAAAACTGATCTGCTTCGTAACTTGTGTTGTTGTTGGAGTGCTGGTAGTATTAACAAGCTTTCTGAATTTCATTCATTTATTGCATACAAAAACAGAGCAAGAGTAAAGGAGTGATTGATGTGTTGGTCTAGTATCAGAGCTCTGCAGTCATACGTACTGTAAGTCACATTCTAATAAAAAACCGAAACACAACAACCTTAAGATAGATTCTTTCAGAAATACTGTTCTTAATCTGTTTCTCTCTATAATCCTATGTTGTAATTGCAAAGTGTTTTTCTTCTTGGTCCTGACTAGCAGAATGTCAAGTCTTATCCTAGTCTAGAATAAAGTGGTGGTCAACTTTTGTTCCCCAAGACATTAAGCACTGTAGCTAAAATAGTCAAGCATTCAGGTTGTCTTGTATTTGTAAGGTGAAGTGAATAGCAACTTTTCCCCTAAATTGTACAGAGCTAAGAAAGTCTTGCTCCAGAATTATAGAAAGTCTGAAATACCAATCCAGAGAGGTCTGTCTAGTCTGGGAACTTCTTAGGAGCTGGCATTGGAGAAGAGAGGTTCTTATACACAGAGTAAAGCCAGAACAGCTAAAACTTTTAGAGGAGTTTTTGTGATCTTTCCCCCACCCCCTTTCTTTCCTGCTGCCTCTCTGTGTTGTGCTCTGAGTCTTCCAGATACAGTTAAAGGTCTCACCAGGCCTGAGACTTTCTTACTTGAGACCATCTTCTTCTTCCTAAGTCATCGAATGGTTGTGGAAGTGTTCACTGGGGTTTCTTTTTTACAGCATTGGATTTGAGATTGTGCCGTTTCTTGTTGTAGTTAATGCTTGGGAGATGGTTTTGTTTTACTATAATAATAAATTAGACTAATCAATGCTACTTTCTGAAAATCAAAAATACACTATTAATTGGTATTGGTAACAATATAAATGTTCTGAATCTGTGTAAGATGAACAGTTTTCAGTGAGGTAAAATCTTAGCCTGAGATTAAGCAATTGCACCATCTTTATAAATTAGAATTGTCAGCATTTCCAGTACACAAAAGAAAAGGACTATAAAGATCAAGTAAAAGTTCAGCTGCATGAACTGTTATGTTTCTAGTAGGTGCTGCTGGGGGGTGTGGGGTGAGTGGTATATGAATGAAATGCATATGTGCATATATTAAATGCATATATAAATAAAGGCAGGCCTATCTTTTTGGAAGATTTATTAATCTGCTTTTTTTATTTTTAAATTTGAACAGGAAATGACAGGTGGAAATGAATCCTGTATTGCAGGACCGATACCTATGTCCTACTTAACTTGCCTGACTTACATTCTGCAAGAATGGACTGGCGTGGAGCATATTGGAGATTATCTGAGTTATGCATTCTACCTTGTATGGGTGCTTTTTCCACTTGCAGTAGTTTTTATACTTCCAGGAGTTATTGTTGCCCTCTTCTACATTTCCATTCTTGTTCTTCATATTTATAAAAGGAAGAATGAACTAAAGGAAGCATATTCTCATGATGTTTGGATTGGTGCAAGAGAAATGTTGGCTACCCTGTGGGATGGACATGGAAGAATATGGCATGGTAAGCAAGATCTGACTTTCATTAAAACCTGCTGAAGCTCTTACTCCTCATTTACCTTTCAAGATTATCATTATATACTTGATTGTTGCTGCTATTGCATGCCAATTCAGGCCAGGTTTTTTTTTTCTGTTTTGTCAATGACTGCCAGTGATGCTTGGGAGTTAAAAAATAAGCCATTGAGACTTTTTCTCTATGTAAAATTTTTGCCTTATGCATTTATTGCCTTGCTGCTACAAATGAGATCTTTCTTCTGGTTGAATGTGTAGGCTATTTTTAATTGCTTTTTTTTTTCTTTTTTTACACATTTTTTAACTACTCCTGGATTTTCTCATTTGAAGAAGACTTGAAATGTCTGTTACATTAAAAATTAGATCAATTATCTATATTATTTCATAGTCAGTATATGAAGACTAGAAGTTAAATGCCAGTTCCTTGATAGCTAGTGTGTCAGCACATATTAGCATAATTTAATTGCACTTAAACAGTTTTTTACATCAAGTGCCAAATGAGGGCTAAAAGGAGCACTAAGTGTCAATTCACTCACTAGTTGCTTCTTGAAATTAACTTTAGAGCCTGTTACAGAACTCTACTTTTTTATTTTCTTTCTCTATATGTATTTTGGACAACTACTTTCTCTACTAGAATGTCAAAATTAAGGGCCCTGTTCCTTGTCCTTCTGCTATTATTTCTTTATAAAGACAGACTTAATAAATGATTTGGCTTTCCTTTCTAAGGAAATCATAAGCCTCTTTCAGAGCCATTCAGTCTAGATGCAGCTAAAGGAGAAAGAGATGCTTAAGAGCAATTTACATAAAGAACAAATCCTTCTTGAAAATCATCTCTATTTGTTCTCTACTCAAAGGGAAGCGGGTTTTCAAGGCATTGATAACCAGATGGTGCAGCAGCTGTATCAGATGGGCTTTGTAAGACTAGGATGTAACTTTCAAATCTAGGAAAGTACACTACATCAAAATCAACAGCTACATCAAAGAGCTTAAAATGCTCACTTCACAATAAAAAGCTATTTACTTTTTTTCATAAGAAAATGATTTTTTTTTAAGGCCTTGGCTCTTTTAAGCCTTAGTAACTTTTTCTTTTTGTAAGGTCTAACTTTTTATTTGCACGGAAAAGATTCTTATCCAGTCCCTCAGTGGCAGCTGTGACTTTTTTTTTGCCCTGCCAGCTGCTTCCTTGTTATCTATACACTTCTCTTCCTAAAGAATGGAATGTTTTGCAATTGTTTTTTCCCCACATGATTAACCAATATATCATAGGAAGAGCTTTTAATCCTCAAATCTCACAGCATTGTTAAAAAAAAAAAAACCAAACAAAAACCCAACCCCAAAACCTAAAAGCCCCAAAACCAATGCACACAACTGGTGCATGGTACCTGTACCTTTACATTTGATATACCAGTGCTGTATGTACTGATTGGCTGTCGTGGACACAATTAATGGTCACTTGGGATGGTACAGATGATAACACTTGCAATCTGCTGCAGCTCCACACCTATACAAAGTAAAACAGAGGAGAAGAGTCAAAGTACCTTCAGAATTAAAAATAAATTAATGAAATAGGAGTTGCAGACCTGGTTAACTTTGGAAGAAGTGACAGGGTTTGGTTGGGATTTTTTAGTTGTTTTGGGGTTTTTGTTTGGTTGGTTTGTTTTGTTTATTTATTTTATAAAAACCTCAAACAAGATACTGCAACAATACTACTGGATATTAACTGAATATGTTCTTTACTGATGCATTTTGATATTTTGTGTTAAACTAAGCATATTCTGCACTGTTAAATAGAAATGTAAGTGCAGTAAGAAACTTACTGTGAAGAAATTTACTGTGTTTATGTATTTTTCAGCTAAGCATATAAAGCTCCAGCTAGCTTTTAGTACTTAGTGATGGAAAACTGGAGCAGGGGTAACTTGGATACAAATAACAAAGATAAACTTCATACCCTGGAGTAAAAGGAGACATGTAAATGGGTGCTGTCACGTCAAATCTTCTTAAACAGTCACTGTTGGCAATGAACTTCAAAAGGTTAATAATAGCTTGAAATAGTAGTTTTACCACTTCAGCCCTTGTTGTGATTTCTCTTGAGTGATTGAGTCAGAGAACTCTGCAGCCTTGAAGACAGTGAACTGAAAAAATGAGGAGAAATGGTGTAGTTCAAGACAGTGAGACTGAGTGTTTTAATTTATGTTTTAGTTCTTTCTTTATATGTAGCACTTCTGCCTTAAATGAAGCTTTGATTTTCTGTGGAGTAGCTTGTATTTCCTGTAAATGCTGCAAGTTGCCTCTTGGCCAGTGCAAAGGTCACTTTGCTGTTACTACTTCTCAATAGCTCTAGGTTTGAGCTTGCTCTAAGTTATTTTCTTTAGGATAGATTTGTATCAAACTTTGACATCTGTTACACTTTTAACAGGTTATGAGCTTCACGGTATCAAAAATATTCCTGAAGGACCAGGGCTTGTTGTGTTTTATCATGGAGCTACTCCTGTTGACTATATCTATTTCATGGCTAGACTTCACGTGACAACGAAGAGAAGCTGCCGCGTAGTAGCTGATCATTTCGTCTTTAGATTACCAGGTAACATACTTCATTATAAACAAGCAGTTTTGGAAGTCTTACTTAAATTTATTAATGGTGTAATTAATAGAAATTGTATCACAGGAACACGGCTTTTAGAACAGATATTCAGACAAATTTAGTGCAAGTGTTGAAGTAGAGGTGTCTCTCACATGTTCTTTACAACCAAGAATGATTTTCTAAGACTAGTCCATGCAAGGATGGGTCATTCTCCTCTCTGGGTAACGCCTTCCAATGAGTTTAGGGTGTTTGGAAACAAATAGAGGGAGATCATAGGAGAAACAATTGTCTCTGTATTCATCATCAGCAAAGACTTCAATAAGATGTTTCTTTTTTATTAATATAGGCAGAATGAGTTGTGTATCCTGATTAAGAATTAAACTGTTTGGAATCAGTGCCGTTAAAATTAAAAATATTAGTCTGGAGAGACAATGTATTTTCTCATCCCACCCAGCTGAGTATGGTGAGCCAGGGGAACCTGTCCCCTGGAAGACTGTTTTGAGTAGAATCTTTTTTGGAGGAAAGCTGTAGAAGTGTCCAACATGTTCATGGTGAAACATGAGGTGGAGTATGATGAAAATGAAAAATATCTCTAGAGCAATATTTTGACTGGACAGCCTACTGAAATACACTGCTGATGGGTGAAATTAATTATATGAGGGGTTTGGTTTTTGTGTGTGTGAAACACAGTAGTACCCAGTTCTTTTCCGAAGTTCAGTTTGTGACTTAAAACCTGTCAATTCACAAAATGAATTACAAGGAGTGTTCGGTAGTGTATTGATGCTTTTAGTGGAAACAACTCATATAAGAAAACTGTTGTTTTGTCAATACAGTTTTGTTTCTTAGTCCACAAGACCCTAGTGTCTTCCTTCAGCCTTAGTCCCTGAAAACGACACTTTGATCCTGATCACAGCATGGCTTTGCCTCTGCAATTGCTTTTGCCAACAGATTCAGATTTGTGAGTTGATTATCAAATCTTTTGTATACAGCTGACCAGTATAGCCTATTTCATAATGCAGACTTGGCTTCATGTTGTATCTATTAACACTTATGCACAGCTGTTTATCAGGTGGTAGCTTATGTTGGTTTTCTCCATTTCTGCCTTAAAATAGTGGGAGTCCCCCAAATATCATTTAGTAACATTGCAAGACATCTGACTGAATGGCTGATCTCGAAGAACTGAGTTCAGCAATACAGCATCTAGCTAACAGCTGGTTTCTACAGGCGTTCCTCAGGGATTGATGCTAGGATCACTGCTGCTTAGTGGTTTTATTGTACCCCTTGATGAAGGGTTGGAGCATGCACAGCAGATTTACCGATGATACCAAAGTAGAGGAGCCATTGTTATACTGGGGGTTAGAGCTTGTGTTCAGAGAGACTTCATAGAAGTGAAGTGGTAGAAACCTCATGAAATTCAGCAAAAGCGAGTGTAAAGTTGTGCATCTGGGATAGAACAATTCCATGCAACAGTACCCTGGGTAAACATGGCTCTGCAAGAAAGGATTTTGGCGTTGAGTGGACCACAAGTTGGGTGTGAATCAGCAGCATGTGCTTGCAGTGAAGAAGATGAACTGCACACCGAGCTTTTTTTAGCATGAGCGTAGCCACCAGGTTGAGTGAAGAGGTTTTTTCCTTGGCTTGGCACCTGTGCAAGCACATCCTCCAATAAGGTGTCCAGTTTTGGACTCCTGGGTACAGGACACACTGACACACTGGAGTGTGTTCAGTGGATGATGATGGGCTAGAGCACACAGTGTATGCGGAGAGGCTGAGAGAATTGGATTTGTTTGATCTGTACCAGATAAGGGTGAGAGAACATACTGTTGCTGTCTTCAGCAACCTAATGGGAGGGTACAGAGAAGAGGGAGTCAGACTCTTCTGAGAGGTACACAGAGGTAGAAAGAGAAGCAACAGAGACCAGTTGCAACACAGGAAGTTGTCATTAGACATGTAGAAAGGTACATCAGAGTGTACCATTAGAGTGATCAGACACCTAACAGATTGCTTAGACAAGTTGGGGAATCTGCATCCCTGGAGACTTTCAAAACTCCGCTGGGTGAGGCCCTGAGCAGCCTGATCTAGTTGGACCCGCTTTGTGTGGGAGGTTGTACAAGATGACCTCCAGAGCTTCCTTCCAATCTACATAATTCTCGGTTTTGTGAAGGAGTTAAAGCTATTCAGGGAAGACAAGCCCAAAGAGCCCAGAATATGTTCTGAATTGTTTAAAAATCTGCGGAGTAATCTATGACTGGCAAGGTAGATGCTGCTTCTCTTGTGAATCAAACCAAAGAGATTGCATAAATTTGTCCTAGTACTAAGGCTATCTAATCTTGATTAAATCTTCAGATTAAACTGGACACCTTTTCAGAAGATGTTTTAACCAAAATTTACTGTGCTAAATGGAGGGGAAATGGGGGGTGATTTGGGGGTTCTGTAAGACACACTTGGATTAGATAATTTAATGATTCTTCTTGTTTTATGATTATTAAATCTACTACAAATAGCTGTGAGTACTGGCTCATCCCATAACTCTGAATTTCAAGTTGCCAGGGTGCAGTTGCCAGGGTGCTGCCATTGCATCCTCTGCATGGGGCACTGCTGTCCTGAATTAACTGGAGTGTGTTTGTAAAATGTTGCCGTGCCTCTTAAGGGATTCATGAGCCTGCAGTGGCATCAAACTGCCCCTCCCTACTCCTTAGCCTTGAAAGATATGGCTTGATAACTTATGGAAGGGTATCTAACCTAATAGAAGACCTCCTATAGGTATCTGGAGATTCCTACTGAACATTACCTTCTGTGATTCTGTAATGTGTCTTTCTTTCACGTTGTTACAAAAGGAAATTATTTGATTGTCTCAGTTTATTCTGTGTCGGTATTAAGTGTGCTTTTGTTGCTTGTATTTTGTGGGAGAAGGATATGAAATATGGTCATGTGGCTTTTTTTTTTTTACTTTTTCTTTTAATAACTGGAGGTTAGCCACAGGGGAAAAAAATCCAAACCAATATTTCAGGTTTCTGGTTCTTTTGGATTCTTAGCTGTGTAATGCTCAAGTCTTTTTCCAAACAGTACAGTGAGGACTGAGATTTCACTTGTGTTCTTCTCCATCACCCTCTCCTATAGTATGGGCCATATTTGCTTCCTAGAGCCATCTAGGAACCCTCTTTATAAGGTTGCCTTCTATTTTGGGACACTAAGGCAGCCCCTCTCCTGTAATGTCCCAGAGAAAAGGGGCTGTGGCTCCTCATCTGCTACTTTGCAACACCTTGTGTATGTATCTTGTGGACTAGATGCTCGGTAGATACACACATGTGGTTACCTACATTTGTGGAAGGTTGGATTCAGTGATCTAAATGACTCCTCTCTGTCTGTGTCCTAAAGGTCAAACATGGAGTAAAGATGACATCCTTGCCATCTTCCTGCCAGGTAGCTGAGAAGCCCTGATGTTACAGTCACTTGGGCTAAGTTAGAGAAATGTATATGGGGCACATATTGAGAGCAGTGTTAAAGGCATTACTGGGTACTTTCCAAAGGGTTTTCAAACATTGGTGCAGACACAATATTGTGGAAAAGAGATGAAAAGTATGTTGGGGCAAAGGGCAGAGTCCAGGTTAAACTGTGGAATAAAATTAATTTTGGACTTCTTGGTATCCTGAAGAATTAGCATCCCTTCGTGCTCTGGAAGGCTGAAAAATTGTCTTTAGATAATTTTGAGAGTTGTTTTGCTGTTTAAAATGGAAAAATAGATTCTTGGTCACTCACATGCAACAGCCAGGTACTACCCCAGAGTTTTTTCTGACTTCATGATGCCCTTTGGTTTGGATACAGGTACCTGGCTGTCCCTTCAGGGACACTGCACTAATTTCTTTCTCTCTGCTGCTTTAGCAGAGCCAGGTTCTTCTTCCTTGCTACTGTAGCAGAGACATTGATAGTAATGTATGTTCTGCTGCCTAGGTTATGAAGTACAGCTAAGAATATAAAGTTTATACTGAAAGTCGAGGGGGGAAATACATCTGAGAAACTTTGTGGAGACTTGAAACCTCCCCCCACGACTTTTCTGTAGGTACAAATTCTTGCCTGTATTCTGTCTACATTCTGTTCTTTTTTTATTGACCTATGAACTAGACAGACTTGTGATGTTGCTCTGTCACACGCACCCTCCCGCCCACGCAGCATATCCAATGAAGATAGGAGGACTATTGTCACAGCTTCTGCTTCCTTGGAGTGCCTTTTCCTGCTCAGCTCAACCCTTCTCATGACTGTTTTGTCTCTCTCCTGAGCTCACTGATAGGAAGGACTTAGAGACAGGCAGCTTCTTACCACCAGGTACTTTCGAGAGAGCTTTAATTAGTTTGGGAATACAAAACATCGTAAAAACCAGCTGTTGAAGATCGCACAAACAAAGCACCTGAAAGAAATGAATTTACTTCAGGAAAACTGTACTTCAGGTGTCCTCTGTGCAAATGCTACTAGATGAAGACTGCGAGTGTCACCAGCAGTGTGCGAGACAGGCACAGCAAAATATGTGACAGGTGTAGTGCAGCTTGTGTTTGTTCAGTTGTCATGTTTGTGCACTGATCCTGATTGTGTACAGAGATGAATCAAGGGTAATTATACTCACACCAACAAAGACTACTTAGAGATCAGAGTTGAGTTAAGAATAAACTAATGATATGTTGCCTCATGCTTTTCTTCTCAAGCCCTTAGTTTATGTGAGCTGTAAGGGAGGACAGATCTGTCTTCCTAACTATATTTCTATCACTTCTTCAGCATGTGAGTGTATGTAACAAATGTGTGTTCATAGTAACAACTATTTATTTATTATTGAGAGGCAAACTGGATTAGATCAATTCTGTTTCGTTGTCTGTGGCTGATAAGTTGTTTGCCTCAGTGGGAAGCTTCAAGAAAAAAAAATAATGTTGCCCATGCTGCTCAGTCACGGAATGTTCTCATTTTGGTGTGTAGTACTCAAAAATACAGTATAAATTTGAAATTTATTGAACCAGTTAATAGGGCTGATTTCCTGCAAGCAGAGGTTAATGCTAGTTATGTCCTTTAACCTTGTCTAAATTCATCAGGTGTGCTCCCATTTGATGCTTGTAAGCAAATTTCTGCTGTTTCTTGGAGAGTGGGTTCAGTATGACATTTCAAATGCAGGATAATATGAGGAGTTTGTATAACCTTAAGTTAAAAAAATCAGTTATAATATTAACAGAAGATGAATATACCCAATTCAGATTTTTGTATGAAAGGTACTCACAGGTACTCACAGACTGAAGCAGGGAGTCAAGTGCTGTAGTGATCTGTAATGCAGAGAATGACAAAGAAAATGAATCATTCTCCCTGTGCGCAACTGCGCTTTGCCAAAGTTCACAAAATGAAAAAACCACAACAATTTGCTGGTATTGCTTCTTGTTGTATTTTATTTGGATTGTGCTACATTTGAACAGTAGAGCTTGAGGAAGAAGCCAGTGCCCTGGAGTCAACTCCTTTGAAGGGACACTTGAAAGATGTCACAGTGCCAATTTTTTTTCAGTTTAGTGCTGATAGTGAGGTATCACCTCACTTTACTATGACAAAAAGCCACTGAACCTCTAAAACATCAACTTTGCAGACCAAAATCTATAAGCACAACTTAATGCTTCAGTCCCTCTTGGGCATTTGGGGCTATAGCTTATTAGACAAATAAGTTTTAGCCATAGTGTTCTGTGTTGGAGATCTGTACTCAATGGTAATATGAATGAACATTTTCTGAATTAATTTTGTCTTACTCTACAGGTTTTAAGATATTACTTGATGTGCATGGAGTTATACCTGGTCCGAGAGAAGCTTGTGTCAGTACTCTGAAGGAGGGCCACCTGTTAGCTATTGCCCCAGGAGGAGTTCGGGAAGCACTCTTTAGTGATGAGATGTACACTATTTTGTGGAGTGATCGGAAAGGCTTTGCTCAGGTGGCCATTGATGCAAAAGTGGTGAGTATGATAGGTCATGAAAGAGAAGCAGAGAATGCTAACTTATTGATACTTTCTTCCAGGGAAAGCTATTTTATCATATATTTGCTGTGACATTAACTGTCATGAGTATGGTTACTTTCATAATTACATTTCAATACTCTTTTTGTTGCTTTTGATAGATAAGAAGGCTTTAGAGTCAGTTAAGAATAGTGTGATCAGGAAACCTGGAGTTTAAAAGAATGAGAGATGAAATAAAGGATGATTTCTCTGTTTCAAAAGTCTCCTGGTTTACACATAACTGGTCAGGATTGTAATGGCTTAACCTCTGATCAGAGGTGGTTGGGAAGCAACCTTACATCAACATTTCTGTTTCTCCTTTCACTGAACTATGCTGTGACCCAGCAGAGTATAGATTCACTGGCACTATGCACTGTATTGCCATTTTATGGTAGTAAAATCCAGGGCATAGAGCAGGAGCAGCAGGAGTTCACTGGTGTGAAGTGTCCCTTCAGTTTTAAAGTATAGCACTGTGCTTGGTCAGCAGGCAGATAGGGAACCAACTGTGAAAGGCACAACAGTGTGTGATATATTTGAATTGTAAATATTATAATAATAATTTCAGAGTCCCTCTCATTCTGTATTTGTACTTGAAAGGTATGTGCATATGTCCGTAGGTCTGCATATACCCAATTGAAAAGCAACTCTCACACCAAAAGTTTCATATTTAGATACTGTCAAAGAGAGACTAGTTAAATTTCTGGATTTTGTACATAAATAGAATACTTTTAAGACCCAAGTGTGTGTCACTTTTCTCACAAGGAAAATAACACTACTTAAACAGGGTATTTTCAGCAGGTTTAGATTTTACTAGTGTATTTTAATAGCATGTGAAAGGCCATACTTAAGATTCAGCTATGGTTGTACTCATTATATTTGTTTTATTGAATATGCGTTCAGTTCCTTTTACGCACTCGCAAGGGTGTTGTACTTTCATCGCCCCTAAAAAAAAAACCAAACAACTGAGAGATGCAGTGAAAAAGGAATAGTGTTGGAGGCAGGCTGAAAGTGGGAAAAACATCCTTATTTGGATTAAAAATGAACTTTAAGTCACCTTGAATTGTAAGCAAAATTCCTCATGGAAAGAAAAATGTGACTGAAGCATCAGAAAAATGTGTCTAAAATCAGAACCTTCAGCTCCTTGAAATTGTCTCATTTCAGCAGTTTGTTTGCCAGAATTTTTGTCATATAAGCTAACTTGGTGCATATAGAAATCTCTACTTCTATGTCAGAAGTAAAATGTTCCAAGTAGGATTTCTGTAGAATAAAGAAATTTGTAACCATTCAGTTTAGGCAATTGCACTTCTTTTTATTCTGTTACTGCATTGTATTATTTACAGACTTCCCCCCCCACGAACCCCAATGTGATTCCTTTCTGAAAAGTTTCATGTACTAGCTCATCTCTCTGCTTGTTTCTAAAAAGTTTATAAGCATCTGAGTGTATGAAAATCCCATGAAGAGTTCTGTATTTCTGATGATGCTATCTACAGTGGGTGCATGACATAAAATGATGGTGAAAAACTTCATATAGTAGTTGCCCCCCTCACAGTTCTTGTAAATCTTGACAGCTGTTTGCAGTAAACAAAAACAGCAATAAAAACTTGAAATATTCAACACCATTCCAAGTATTCATCAGCAGAAATAAATCAAGGACATGTATTGAATATGACACATCATGTGTGAAGCAATACCATCAGCATAGCAGAGATGAATCAGGCAAATTTAGTGTCCCAATCCTGTGAATTCTTCCCTTTGAGCATAACTACAAATTAGGTAAGAGGTTTAAACACTTAAGTCACAACTGTACAAACACTGCCAGATGGGACAAGGGATGCAAGGATGCTCCACAGGTTCAGAAATTCTGGCCTGCTTTGAGAAAATGGAGTTGCTGAATCACTGACTCTCTGAAATCTTGTGGTATACTCCAGTTTGAAATCGCATGGCAGAAGGTCATGGAAGAAATTAAGAATACTTGTTTTGCTCTCTATATGTCCTTATCTGAGAAACTCTTTTGAAATTAATTTGCTTGTTGTGTTTAAGTGAGGTAGAAGGTTTTCAGTTAGAGCTATCTTCATTAAATTCTTAATTATTTTTTTTCCCTCCTAGCCCATCATTCCTATGTTTACACAAAATGTTCGAGAAGGCTTTAGGACATTAGGAGGAATAAGTAAGATATTTTCTATTTTTTTGTAGTTTCTTTTTCCATATGTGTTTAGCCTATCTCTGTAGAAGTAATTCCCATATAAATTTCAGATTTAACACAGCCTTGTTTCTTGAGGTTTGCTCCCTGTTAGAGTTCAGAGATGTTATTAGGATTTGATATCAGCATTAGATGTGGTATTGACTCATCTAAATTACTTTCCATGTAAGTGTTCCTTTACAGAAGCAGTAGAAGAAAGGAAAAAGGAGCCAGAAAAAGACAGAAAGATTTACAGTGCTTTTTTTCTCTGCTTATATCTGCTAGGCCAACCCTAGGTTTTCTCCTAGGTTGGCAGCTGACACATAATTCCTTTGAATGTTCTCCTAAAGCTCTGTACTTACAGCTTTACCTGTGCTTAAACTTTGAGTGATTTGGACTATTATTTAATCTGTAGTTGCTTTACTATTCTGCACTACACCTGTGGTTCCTCACAAAAACTTGCATTTGCCAGCTCTTTTTCCTTATCTCTGTGAGATTTCCAGACAGAACAGCAATAGATGGGTCTATGTCTGAAACGTCTAGCTCTGGGATGATTAGATGTCCACATCTCTGCTCATTTTCTAGTGTTAAACTCCCTTTTTTTTAAGCTCTTCAACTTATTCTCTAGCAGAAGGGGCCTGAAGGGATTCCTCCACACCACATGTTCTGCCTCAAGTGTGGTATCGTCACCTTCATTAGAGGACTACAGGGGCAACACAGTTCTGTTGCTCTCCTCCTCTAATTAAGAGCTAAATATTGCATGGAGACAGCCAAGGCATCACATGCAGATGTCATGTTGTACAAAAATAAACAGCAATTAATTGTTGCTGTGTTCGGGAGAATCACCCCAAACAGAAGAAATTTAAGCCAGAATCATTCATGCTCGTTGCATTCTGCAGCAGAGTTGTTAGAGGAATTGAACTCTCTTGATCACTGAAGGTGTTACGCCAGTTTTAGTAGTTTTTGAATACTTGTTTTTATAGGTAATATTTTACAGATAATTCCACATCTTGAGCAGTAAGGATTTTCATCAGTTAATGGAATTTCTTGTCTGTAATTGACAAAGATAATATTAGCAAGCATTTTCCAAAGAATCTCTTCTGGGTATATTTGGGATAAATGCTAAACGGTGGCATGTGGCAAAGATCTTGTGTCCTCTTAGAGCTGATTGAAATACCTGATTTTTTCTCTCTTTTTATACCGTTTAACTGCGACCAGTGTGTGATCTGAAAGAGCAATTCAGTGTGTTATTATGGTTGACCTTTAGGCAGATAAGGCTATTTCTGATTCTCTAGACCACAGTGGGACTGACCAGTGCAGTCTTCCAATACTAAAGCACTTAACTAACCTGTAAAATGAGCTGAACCTGTAACCTGGTTTGCATAGCATTCCTGTCCTCTCCAGACAGGCAGCTATTGAATTTTTCTCCTCTTCTTCCTTCTTGTTTCAGATACTCTTCGGAGGAAAGATTCCACACCAAGTTAGGGTAGAAACAAGTCTGATGTTAGCATTAATGCAGCTTTTGGAAAATGAAAGTCAAGGGTAGAACAGCACTTGAGATGACACAATGTTTTAGAATCTGGTTTGGGAACTAGATTACAATTTCAATGTTGAGACATGTGGGGAAAAAAAAACTTTACAGAATAATCAGTCTCTCCCTCTCTCTCTCTCTCTCTCTCTCTCTTTCTCTCTCTCTCTTGTCCATTCTCCCTGCCCTCACCTTTCTTTCTCCTGCTTTCCCCTAAAATTTTTTCACATTAGAAATATTTAGGTCACTATATGAACGTATTAGATTGCCATTAGTTCCCCTGTATGGTGGGTTTCCAGTCAAGCTACGTACATTTATTGGAGAACCCATTCCATATGATCCAAATATGACTGCTGAGGAACTAGCTGCAAAGGTAAGATATGATATAGATAGACATAGATATTTGTTTTGTTTTAAATATTGAATGTTCTGATAGAAAACACTGCAATAGATTTTTCAAGTGATTTCTGCCTAGGAGCCAGTTATAAAAATTGATGGAATCATGGTTAGTTTTGTACTTGTATAAGTCTCAATGCCCTTAAATACTATCTTCTTGTTACTACAGCCTGCAGCTGTCCTAGGTCTTTTAAAGTTTATTACACTCTATACTTGCTTTGAGAAACAGCTTGCTTTAAAGACTGAAGGAGTTCAGTCAGATAAGACAGCTCTGGGTTGATAAATAGAGAGAAGCATTTCATCCAGGGGGAAGTGTTCTGCTTCTTAGTCTTCTCAGAAAGACACTGATGAAGCCTTTCAAACGTAGCAAATCTGTGTTCACAAGCTGTTGGAATTTCATGCAATAAAATATAAGGTAAATGATTTCACTGCTTTGTCTAGTGTGTTTGTTTCTATTTCCTCCCAATTTCTCACCCAACAAATTAACTTTTAAATGTTTCCTAATTCAGATTTAGGTGCTTTGTAGAAAGGATTCTAATGTCCTCATGTTCATTCAGTTTATTAATAGATTTCACAGTGCAAGATATAAACCAGTTAAATGGTGGAGCAGTGAGGTGGAGAGGGCTGAAATAGCCATTTTTGAAAGCTCTACAGATGGTCACTTAATCATTCTGAAAACTTCACTTGAGAGAAAGAGACTTTTCTTCTTGACTATGCAGGTGTCAGTTTAGTTGTCTCTCCTCATCTCTTTACCCTCTGATTAGATCTCTGCAAAATGACTTAAATGTTTATCTATAAATTGTTTATCTGCATTATCTTAAGCCCTGATTATGGAAAATTGGTTGTTTCTTTTGGGATTCAGTCTGACAGGACTTCAGAACTGTTGGCTTTGAGGAGAGGATGTGTATTTCTATTGCTTTCAAACATGCATTGGCATTATAATTTGTGCCAACCCTCACTTGCTTCTGACTTAAATGCAAATTCTGCTAGATAAGACCCCTAGAATGTGAATTCCCTAGAGTCCTAGTTAGAGTGATTTTAAAGTTGTATCTCATGTTTCATTCTATGGCACAGTATGCATTTTTCAATTATATGTAGAAAAAAAATTAGGCTCACTTTTTTACCTAATACAAATTTTAGATCTTTAGAAACACTTAGGACCAGATCTATAAAGTCCTTCTCTAGGACTTGGCAGCTGATCACGTACTTCATATGAACAGTGGGAGCTTGTACCAACAATCATCTCCCCTTGCTGACCACTGGTTTACAAAGGCAAATAATTCTTTGTTCAGTCTCTGGCCTTAAGAATTGTCTGATCTGTGCTTCTCTAGGCAGAATAGGAAGGCTACAGTGTGTCCTCGCCACAGCTTTTGCATATTGCCCTGCTTTGAATGCTCCCTATAGAGCTTTTATTATATAAGAATGGCTGCTGTGAACTCCTTGGCCTGGTTGGTTTTTGAGTGAAAGTGAAGGCTGCTGCCATATGCAGCTACGTGACCCAAGTGTGATTTACAGGACCAGTTCCTTTTTGGGACTGGGATGCAGGGGTCATTGCTTTGTACAAGTCAAATGTGCTGAGACACAGTGGTGTTTCCAGTGCTGCTTCTGAGTGTGTTTAGAAGCAAAGTTCATGGATGCTGAAATAGTGTTACTGATGCAAACCTGGGCATTTTTACTCTGTTTGTTGCTTTATGTTTGCGTATCATTAATAGAGTTTGTGAACTCAGCTACCAGAAAAAAAAGGTACTAGTTTGTTGGTCCGTTCCATGGCAGTGTAGCCGCAGTCACACCTGGTGGGCTTAGATATGGAAAAATGGTATTTTGTACTTGCAGTAGTTCTGTGGCATTTGGAAGGATGAAGAAGAGCCTAGAAATTGTGCTAATATAGGAGCTACATAAAGATGACCTAATCTGACCAAAACCTTTTCTCTTTCCCTACAGGCAAAAGCAGCAGTCCAAGCTCTAATAGAAAAACATCAGAAAATACCAGGAAATATATTTAGGGCTTTAATGGAACGATTTCAATCACATAAGAAAGACGATTAAGGTCTCCTGAACTTAAACTACTATAAACTGCTATTTAGGTATAATATTCTTAAAGTCATATTTGCAAATTATTCATTCTTCTAATAATAGGTTTTAAATACTGTCCTAAAGATACTGCTGTATAATGTAAGGTAGAAGTCACTTGCCCTTTCATCTGTTCAATATCAAGCTCAGGAACCCAAACTTCAAATCATTCGTAATGGAGCAAAGTTTAATTTTTGATAAATGCATTCCTACCTTAAAAGTATGTGGGTCATTGTTTTTTGTTGGTTTTGTTTGTTTGTTTGTTTGTTTTTCTTTTTCTTTTTTTTTTTTCCCCCAAAATGACACTGAAAGCCTTTGTGTACATGGTCTGTCCTTTTTTTGGTGCGTTGACATCTCTCCCACCACCCCCTCCTCACCCGGAGGTGGAGTCTTACTGTTTATCCTCATTACTGTAAGTAGGGTTTTCAGGCCAGATTAATGCTGTACAACACGTATGAAAACTTTCTTTAGGTTGTTACGCTCACACTGGTGGAATACAGTTAACCTTTGGCCTGTAGAACCTCTAGCAATGACTGCAAAACCTGTGCTGGGTGAGCTCAGAAAGAATTTGGAGGAGTCAAATTTGAACCCTGCAACACAGCTACTGTTTCAAGCTGTATTGTCCCGTATATTTCTCATTTGATCTACAAATTCTCTTTTGAAAGATTGAGCCAAGCATTTAAACGTCAAGAAGTGGAAATGAGTATACTGTTTTGTATGATGAGCTCACAAAGGTTTATTTTGAAGGGAAGAAAAAGTGATTACAACGCTCTCTAAACATAGAAGTTCTTTTGAAAAACAGGATAGACGTTCCCAAATAGCCTTTAGATCTAGTATATGGGTAAAGTGTTAAAAATACATATTCTTCAAACAAGTTATTTACATAAGTTATTAAATCAGGGTTGAGACGGAAGTTCTGTATACTTTTCTTAAGTGAAAACGATTGAATCAACAGGAAGGAGTTGCAGGATTGGACTATTGTGCACTTACAGCAAATTGTATTGCTATATTTTTTCTGAGCTAAAGCCTGTGCTTTTATTTCCAAATAGGAAATATCTGAAATATTTCTTCTGATTTCCAGCAAGTTTAATCTACAGTTCTTAAATTAACATTGGGGACCTTTTTTGGTTTTGGGATGAGGACAGATTCCTTAAGAAAAGACAAAAGAGGTTTTTGCTGTATGACATGGTCTCCTTTCAGTATTGTTGGGCCTTGACCTTTTCTTGAAAAACCTCCATGCACACCCTCCATAAAAAACCCAACACCTAAATTTTGAAGGAACAGTTGTATTTGATTTAGAATCCATTCTTCTCACCATTTAAGCACATGCTTTACTTTATGCTCCTTTAAACGTTTAAATTAGTGACATTACAATAAGTGCATGTGGATGATGCCCTACGTTAGAAAAATATCACTTTCTGCAAAAGTGTCTATCAGTTATGGTTTACAAGAAGCAAAAAGCTTACTCATGATGTTATTTTATATCAAAAGCATCTTATGTGGTGTTAAATTGAATTTTTTAAAGCTCTGGAAATAATCATGTTATACAGAAGCAAATGCCCATTCTAAAGTTTTTTAAATGACTTGGGTTTTACTTGAAGGCAAGATTGTGTTCTTTTTAATTTATTGGTATGTGTTTAAAAAATATTAATGCAATATGTCATTAAAAATGATAATGCCAAATTCCTGCATTGGAATATAAATTAAGTATGACCTTTTTTTTAACTGTCCACCTTGAAGAAAATGTGCATCAGTCTATATTGTGAACATCTCAAAGGCAGCTGAACATATTTTGTGTTGAGGTTGAATATATCTGTAAAAGAAAACTCAGTCTAAAAAGTTCTGTTAGAAACGAACAGACATTTCCTATCAGAGATTTTGTAAAATTTATTTTACTAAATATGTGGGCTGTTTGCTGCAGTTTTGTCCCTTTAAGTATTGAAAGATGAGTAAAAAAAAATGAAGGACAGTATTGGAACTCTTTTAAGTGTTCATATTTGTATAGGCCTTTCATATTTATTTCTATATATTAAAAATGTATAGAAGACACCTTTTGAATAAAATTGACAACTGGAATAGACTTTTGAAGTTTTGTGTTGTGTTTGAACTAAATGGAGTGATACATGGCCTGTCTTGCTGCATCTTCAGGATGGCTTTGAGCAGCATGTCATAGCCTTGAGAAGCCCTTCTTGCCTAGTGTCTGCATAGGGATGGAAGGATCAAAACCTCAGAAGGAAAGAATTAAAGGAAAAATAATTCATACAACAGTAGAATGAAGGACAAAAGTCACATAAACAATAGGGGCTGAGTTTTAATAATTGTAGTCAGTGCTGCAGGAGGCCTTAACAGGCACTGCAATACCTCTTTAGTTAAAGGTCCTGCAATAGAAAATAGGTCATAAATACTGACTAGTAAGGTTTATTTGTACATATTGAGTTTGTGAATGCCTATTTTATCGCATTGAAAAAGGGGGCAGACCTGGAGCGAGACTCTCACAAATAAGGTTGTAGACCAGCCATCCTTTTAGCTGATTTGGTTTACTATGCATCAGGCAGAAGTATTCAAAGGAAATTTTAGCAGTTTGAGACTAGACCACTCATTGCCTGGTTAGCCCTTGGATATGCTGAAGACATCACATGTTTTACTCCATGCGAGCGTAAGCAGGGTATGTATTTTTAGGTTGTTTGGAAAACAGACCGACTGCTGTACTGACAGGTATTCATCATTATCTCTCAGCAAGACCCAAATCTCCTACTGGCCAATTTACTGTCCTGTTGTGTAATAGCAGAGCTCAGTCTGAACATCTATTATTAGGATGCTTTCACATGAAATTAATCTCTGCAAATGCAAGGTAGAGCAGTTAATCAGCATTGTCAACACAACTGTGTGGTTCATCCGGTATTGGGTTTGCTGTACAAGTGTACCATTATGTTGCTTCATCCTGTTATTCTGTATAGAAAGATACAGCTGTGATGACAGTGTGTAGCTCTACAGTGCTTAATCCCTATTAAGCCCATCATAGACACAAGAATGCTTTTTTTGGTGTTATTTTTGAATAAAAAAATGATGGTACCAAAAGTAAATGTGAAAATGCATGGAATTGCTACATGAGCATAGTAGCACTGAAAATGCATGTTAGGTAAGATAACTCTCCCAAACTTGTCAGCTAAAACTTCATGAGGCAATCCGATGACACTTTATTAGATCTATTCCCTTCCCTTTTTTTTTTTTTTTAAACTAAGAACTAGTCAAAGGAAATGATAGTCTCAAGATTCTGAAGATGATCAGAAGGCTGGAGCACCTCTCACTGAAGACAGACTGAGAGAGTTGGGGTTGTTCAACCTGGAGAAGAGAAGGCTCAGGAGAGAGCTTAGAGCAGCCTTCCAGTACCTAAGGGTGGCCTACAAAAGAGCTGGAGATGGGCTTTTGACAAGGGCATGTAGCGAGAGGACAAGGAGCATTGGCTTTAAACTGAAAGAGGACAGTTTAGATATTAGGAAGAAATTCTTTACTGTGAGGCTGGTGAGGCACTGGGTCAGGTTGCCCAGAGAAGTTGTGGATGCCCATTCCTGACAGTGTTCAAGACCAGGTTGGATGGGGCTTTGAGCAAGCTGGTCTAGTGGAAAGTGTCCTTGCCCATGGCAGTAGGGTTGTAACTGGATGATGATACTTTTCTCCTCACTCATGGGTTATTTGCAGTATTAGCTTGTCTGCCTTTTTTTTTTTTTTTTTTTTTTGAGAAATTTTGTTTTGCACAGGTGGTTGCAAATTTATCACTTACAACCTTGAATTTTGTCGCAGCACTCATCACATGCATACCTTATGTTGCTTTGTGAAACATTTTAAAATTGTTATAATCATCTCTTCATTTCAGAAAATTGGTCAGAAAGATGTAATAAGCTTTGGAACTGTAAGGATCATTTTCCTAAAACCTGAAGTGTTTGCTAACACTTCTTGCTTTTGCATCTGTGCGAAACATTACAAGAAGGTGAGTTGCCACTTGGAATTAACATCAGGCTGCATATATAGAGCAGACCCAATATTTTTTTCTGCACCGTGGGGCTGAGTCAGCTGTTGTGGAGCATATCCTATTCCACCAGGCCTTGTGTCACAGCCATCACAAGAGAAAGCCCAACACTCCCTGCTGTCCATACTAGTTAATATAATGAGAGAATGCAGCACAAGTCATCAAATCACCTTTGGCTCCTGTTTTCTAGCTAAAACCATGGCATGCTCTGGGAACATGAGGTGCTTTCTAACAAAATACAGATGGAAGTATCACATTATTCAGAAAAGATCTTAAAAGTTTAAAAGTCGAGAAACAGAACCATTTTTACCTAATTCTTTCCAATGGGAAACAGAATGTGCAAAACATCAGGGAGGATAGGAATTTACAACTTTGTGTCATCTTTGCAGGGAATTTGTGGCAGATGAATTGGGACAAGTCCCTTTGCAGATGGGGCTGATCTTCATATATCCCAGAGGGGTTTGCTTTTCTGTTTCCTCCAGTAGTGTTTTCTTACTATCAGGTCTACACTTTGCTCAGAGCAACTTATTTTTCTTTCAGTTACTTCTTAAGTGGGAACAGAAATGGAGACCCCAATGAACATTTGTTAGTTCTCTTTTTGATCTATTTGAGGTCTACCAAAGGTATCTGGAAACATTTCCGAGCTCTTATTTCAACTGCTGTAGTAGAGTTGCTAGCTCTACAGACACTTCTTTGAAGTGATTTCTCCTTACCATATAAAATGCACTCTCCTGGCAGGTCCACCAAAACTTGAAGTGTCCTGTCCATTCAGAAATGAATTAATTTTCTTACGCCCATCATGCACTGGATAAGTTGTCTTAAGTAATGGGCACAGCTGTTGCAGGCTTGCTTGGTTAATGTTTTTCACCATAGATTTCCACATTCCAGACAGACATTTTGGTAATTTATCTGGCTTTGTGAGAACAAGCTTGAGGGAAAAGACTAACTGCAACTTTAAATAATTAATTAATGCCTCAGTTCCTGAAGGCATTAATGAAAATACAAACCAAACTCCACAGCTTAAGCAAGCACAACCAACCCCCAAACTGGTTTTGGAATTCTGATTCTACACCATCTTGACTCACGTTTATGGAAACAAAATTTCCTGGCTCCATTTTTCTCCTTGCAAAACCTGGCACCAGCACAGAAGCACAGCAGCTGTGATGGCATTTCTTGGACTTAAGTTGCCATCTGATTTGAGCAGTGGTGGGGACATTATATTTGAGAGGAGCAGGCTTAGGAGAAGAGCCCAGCAGCACTCAGGGCTTGTCTGAAGCTAAGTATAACTCAGTAGTATCTAGTGGAAGATGTCTAATACTCAATGCTGTATTAGACTTGCTCATCAGATAGCAGCACCTCCAGGCTTGCTGCTTCCCCTCAAAAGCAAGCTAATCATCATGCATGCTACCCAATTCCTCTCTCTGTCACTAGCCTTGGTCTGTAATCTTTCCTGCAGACTCTCTTGCTTCCCGTGATGACACCCAGGACTGTTCAGGACAAGGCTTGAATGACACTAAAGCTTTGCCTTGACCAGGGGGCAAAACAGCCTCCAGTGCCTGCCTGGCACAGGGGCAACGTGTGGTGTGGTGCTGTGGTGGGGCTGCCTTTGCAGGGCAGTCAGAGGCAGCAGCCCGGCTGGCCCAGCCATCCCAGACAGTTTTAAGAGGTGCAGCTGGCCCAGCCACCCTGTTTTCAGTGCCTTATGTGCCCTGGAATATCTTTTTCAGCCTGGGGCTGGCTCAGGTATGGCTGAACACACACAGGAATTTAGAGCTGAGGAGCTAATGTGGTTAAGTTCTGGTCTTTGTGCTCATCCCAGTGCCTCCTTTAGGATCCCCACAGAAAGCAAACCTGATAAGGGAAGGCTGCTGTGGGGGAGCTTTATATGAAGAACCTCTGGTTAATAATAATAATAATGGCCAGTCTTCGCGAGCGAAGATCCGGGGAAGGTCTTTACACCTTCCAGCCTGCGCATTGGATTTTTTTAGGTGAGACACAGTGTGCGCGGAACTGAGCCCACCCTTTAATCCTAAGGTTCATCTGCCGGGGCCAAGCGAGCTTGGACGGTGGCAGCGAGGTCCTTAGGATGTAGGTGGGTTGCCTTTAAGGGCTAACGAGCCCCACCTGCCCGGGAGTGGCCCTGACCGGGAATCGAACCCGGGTCTCCGCGGTGATAGCGCGGCGCCTTTACCACTAGACCACCAGGGGCTCCAGAACCTCTGGTATTTTCCTGTCATTGTACAGTATGCAAACATACCATTTCTAGGAGTCAGTAAGCCTTCTGCATAGCAGCTGTAATAAATGAACCAACAGACAGTCTTATGTGTGTAATTTATCCACCCTTCTGGTGCAGTAACGGGATCACACATCGGTCTGAAGTTGTGTTGAACACGCCACTGTCAAGCTGTTTTGGTTTCTCCATGTCCAGTGCTTCATTTGCAAAGCTTTTCTTGTGAGCCAGTGGGTATCCAGCTTGACAAGCATTTAAAATTGGAGGATGGCTTTTTTTGCTGTCTGCAGCAAGGTGAGTCAGGAGAGCCTGGCACGTGGGCAGCTAAGCACCCACGAGTGCCCAAAAACACACTTCAAGAAAAGATGAGAGTAGAGAGCTGACTTAAAAAGGCAGCCAGAAAAATCTCAGCCACTGGAATGCATCAATCTATCTTTAGTTTCTTAACTCATAACAACCATTAATAGCTACAGGACGAGATACTGACTTAATTTACACAGCAGCATAGGGTAAGTGTATCTGTGTGAGTATGTGTGATGCCCTGTTTCTTTGGTATAAACAAGAGCATGAAACCTACTTTGGCTGCTGTTGCAAGGCAAATAGCAGACCATTATTATTCAATCCACCTGAGCTTTTCAAATGTCAAGATGATATCGCTCATGCTTGCTTTGTCATTACTATGCTTAATC